GGGGGGGGGGGCGGCTTTCTTTGCCCGATTGCCAGCCGCCTCCAGAAGGGCTGCTCTCATTCGGAACTCCCCGACGGCGCCCCACCCACGTGCTTGCCTTTCCACTATAGACACCACAGCCCCAGGACTGTGTCTGGGCAGCTTGGCCCAGAAGCTTGGGGAAAAGCATGGGGGCCGCTAGCGGGACAGGCCCCGACGGCCCCTAGCTGCTCCCTCCCTGGGTCTCCGCAAGCCCCGAGATACCAAGAACCAGCCCAGGCAGCCCTTGGGGGGCTGAGCATCGAAAGGGGAGCGGAGAGACAGAGAGCACAGACCGAAGCGCGCAGAGCAAAACAGAAAGGGGCAGCCTCGGCGCCAGGGGGAAAAGAGGGGGGAGAAGCGGCCCGGAGTGTCCTGAAGCAGAGGGAAGGAAGCCCAGAGAGCGCCAGCATGCTTGCAGCGTGCGTGCGTGCGTGCGTGCGTGCATTTGTAGACCCGCCCTTGCGTGCGTACTCCGCACGTGCTGCGTGCGTACGACCCAGCGCGCGAGCCTCCACAACCGGCCGGAAGTCATTGAGCAACCTGGGCAGCCCCCTGGGGCTTGCGCCTGCGCTCTCGCGACTCCGGTGCCCCCGCCCCTCCCGCCCAGCCTCCCCGGATTGGCCGCCCCGGCCAGCGTCTCGGCGCCCCGCCCAGGGCTTCAATGACGGGGCGGAGCAGTGATGGGCCAGGCCCAGCCGGCGGGGTTCCTCATTGGGCGTAGCTGCTCTCAGCGTTCGAGATGTTCCGGATGGCGATGAGAGCGGCAGGACTGGAGCAAGGCTCCGAGGGGTTCGGTGCGAGCTCTCCACTGGAGTCGGAGTCGGAGTCGGAGTCAGAGTTTGTGTCGGCGTCGTCGGAGTCGTCGGAGCCGGCAGGGGAACTCGGGACAAGCAGGAAGCGGGTGGTGCCCGGTATCATCTACCTGGGCCATATCCCGCCGTGCTTCCGGCCCCCGCACGTGCGGAACTTGCTCAGTGTCCATGGCGAGATCGGGCGCGTCTTCTTCCAGCCGGAGGGTGAGCCTCAGCACACACGTGGCGGACAGGGAGGGCGCGCAGGCGCGGCCGGTGGGGGCGCAAGGAAGAGGGGAGCGAGGAGGCGGAGTCTGCGCTCCTAGCTCCTCCTCCACCCCCACCCCCCAGCCGGGATGAACGCCTTCCAGAGGCTGTGGATAGGTGGGACCTTAAGTTTCTCCCCCTCCGAAGTAAGCTAAGATCTGTCCCGCAGGCCTCACTTGAGCTAGTGGTGGGCAGAGATGGGGGGGGGGTGTTCTCCCTCTCCCCCAGGCCTGGGCCTTGACCCTGACCCTGACCCTGACCCGTCTGTCTGTCTGTCTCTGTCTCTGTCTGTCTGTCTGTCTCGATCTGTCCTTCCTTCCTTCCTTCCGTCCGTCCGTTCGTCCGTCTGGCTGGCCGGCCCTCCTCCGGCACCCAGATCGGTTGGGCCAAAGGAGGACACTGACGGGCGCTTCCGGGGGCAGCCACCGCTTGGGGCTGGACTACACCGAGGGCTGGGTGGAGTTCCGGGACAAGCGGGTGGCCAAGCGAGTGGTGGCCAGCCTGCACAACACGCCCATGGGCGCCCAGCGCCGCAGCCCCTTCCGTTATGACCTATGGAACCTGAAGGTGAGGCCGGGCAGATGGCGGGCAGGACAGAGGGCCGGGCTGGGCAGCGTCGCTGACCTGCTGGTGGCCTTCCTTCCCAGTACTTGCATCGATTCAAGTGGAGTCATCTGAGCGAGCGCCTGGTCTATGAGCGGCAGGTCCGGCAGCAGCGTGTCCGGGCAGAGATCTCTCAGGCCAAGCGGGAAACAGACTTTTACCTGCAGAGCGTGGAGAAGAGCAGACGTTTCCTGAAGGAGGCAGAGATTGCCTTGGCTGCTTGTGGGGAGGGATCAGTAGTCCGAGAGAGGAGCTGGGGTTTCATCCAGCGCCCCACAGAACTGGAGATCAGAAAGCACAGAGAAATTCAGGCCAGCCAGGGCAAGGAACAACAACTAGCCCAGATATACGAGCTTGCCGAGAAGGCCCAGCCAAATGAGCCTTTGCTGGCCAAAATTTTCGGTCCTGGGGCCTGATTTTTCTGTGACACTGACTTCAGTAACCTCAGCCTGGCCAGCACAGTACAAAGGGGCATGACAGGAATGGGACGTGGAAATCTAGTTCAGTTCCGGATTCATTCTCTGCCTAATGGCAGCTTCCCAGGAACTGCTTTGTCTTAATAATAAACTTCAGACTACAGCTTTAACTTTCAAATAACATTAAATTGTTGCAGGAGGGACTGTCTTTTTCCTTTTTTAATCCTGTTTTAAAGACCGTATTGTCTTAAAAAAAAAAAAAAAACTGGGGTGCGGGGGGGCCTTCGGGCAAGACTTTAGCCAACCCTGGGCATCGTCAGTTTCTTATCTCCCTGTCCCGTCCCTGACTGGAAGAAGCAAGTGATGGGGGGGGGGGGGCAGTGTAGAGGATAAGGTAGAGGTGAATCTGTGACTAGAGCCAAGCTGGATCCAGGGGGCAGAATGTGCAGTTGCAATCTGCCAGTGACCCCAACTCCAGTCCAAAGACCAGGGCAGTGCACACTGGCTCAGTGGCTGGTGCAATTAGAAATACAGGCCGGGAAGACTTGGCTTCTACCTAGATAGCAAGGAGACCACCTAGAAATGCGCTGGGCAAGCTAAGGGAGACCCCACTTTGACCTTTCGGGATGTACTAGGGGCACACCTAGTTCCCCCTGCTTTGTGCCTTCCTCACTTTCTGACCAAACCCTGAGGACGCTAAGGAGACTCACAGTGTTGCCTGGATAAGTCACTTAACCTCTCGCTAACCCAAGAAACCCTCCAGGCTAGAAGATCTGCCACATAAAAGGCAGCCTAAAATAGTGAGAAGCCCCAGTCTTCTTCAACACCCTGGGTAGTCAGGTGGGTCCCAACCAGATCTCCTTCATCCTTCACTGGCACAGGAGTCTGGCTAGAGCAGGTAGAGAATTGAGGAAAACTTCTTTCTGGGCTGAGAGTACGGTACCCCACCCCAGGCCTAAAGACCCCCATGTATGAACAAGCTAGCATTGATTGGTGTGTGTGCCCAAGAGAACCCACCTCCCTCAGAACACTGTCACCATAGTTTATTTAGAAAAATAAAGGTAAAGGCAGCAAAGAAAGGCCAGGGCCCAGCTGGCCAGCTAAGCAGGCCACTAGAGTACATAAAAACAATAGATTCCTTTTGCTTCTCTTGGGGGGAGGAAGGCACAGCAGAGGAAGGAGTAGCTCTTTGGCCCTGCAGATGCCCCTCCCTAGAGGCTCCATTTCCAGAATCCAAACCCGAGCTTCCACGCCCCCCTCACTCTGACTCTTCTCTACATGGGCCCAGCCCGTGTCCCTGAGGTTAGGGCGAGTGTGTGTGTGTTTGGGGGGGGGGGGGTGATCTTGGAGACATGGACTGACAGTTCTCTTGGAAACCACACGGAGGGCTGGGGCAGGCCAGAAAAGTGGGGATCCTCAGAGCAGTCCATAGTGGGAGGTGGGTAAATGCTGGCTTTTGTGGGGAGGCAGGGGGAGAAGACATCTGTTCTCACCTCAGCCCTTCCAGTGTAGACTGACTCGTACACAGTGTAGTAGGGAGAGCTAGGGGAAAGGGAGCCCACAGGCCAGCTCAGTGCATGGGGACCCAGGGAAAAGGCACCTGCTCAGCTACTGCCACCCCCCGAGGTGCAAGGCTTTCGGCAGCAGGCCCGGCAGCGGCCCTCATATACTAGGACATCGCAGTCTGGAGAACGTGGGCCCTGCTGCCAGCTGCCAGGCCAGCCAGGGCACAGACGATAAGCCTCCAGGTTGCAGATGAGTTCAACCACCTCATCCACCGTGGTGAGCCGCAACGGGTGGGCTGAGTATAGCTCGTGGCTGGGTGGGACGGGGACATCTTGCACCACCACGTGGAAGTAGAGGCCCGGCTGGATGTGGATGACCGCAGCAGCCATGGTGGACAAGGGGGAACGCTGGATGAGGCACAGGTCTGGCCCTCTCGGTGGCAGGACCTCCCAGTGAGCGGGCAGGGGCAGCTCGTTCAGCTCTGCTAGAAACTCTTGTAGGACACTGTCCAGGCCTCCACAGGGCCCAGCAGCTGTTGGGGTGGCGCCGCTCAGACTATAAATCTCCATGATCTGGAGGGAAAAGGCCCGTTGCTACTCCCTGGCTGCCGTCCACTCCCTCCCTCCTGGCTACCCACCCGAGGCCCAGCCGTCCGTCACTCACCACAGGGGTGTTTGCCGTGGCCGCCTCCTCTTCCTCCCCTTGTTTCAGGGAAGGCTGCAGTCGGGCCCTATTAGCTGCCTAAAGAAAAAAAACAAAACAAAACCCAACCATCAAAAGGAACCCATCGCAAGTGAAAAAATCAGCAGCAAGTCCCGTGAGTGGGTCGGCCGGGCCTGGGGGAGATGGTGGCGTGGCCAGGGCTCAGGGAGCTTCCAGTCTGTGGAGAAGAGAGGCACACCCCGGAGGGCCAGCCACATCAGAATCCTGTAGCTTCCACACATAGCGAGCAAGCCCTGGAAAGGTAGCAGAGCAAAGGTTTCCTTCCCCAAGGAGCCAGAGTTCAAACTCGATCCAAGATGTCCATAGGAGCCAGGCCTGCTCAGTGGCAGAGATGCCAAGAAGGTGCCATCCCCTCCCAGCCCTTCCACCTGGTTACCTTGCTGCAGAGGCCAGGAAAGAAGCCTGCAGGGGGTGGGGAGGCAGCTCCAGGAGCTTGGTCCCCATAAGTCTCAACCTCCTGCTTCACTGGGGGGGATGAGATGAGCACCCCAAGGCCTGGACACTCATACTCCTGCAGGGAGGGCCCAAGAGAAAGGTCATAGCGGACTCCAGCCACCTGGCTCTCCTCCCACACCACCTAACTAGGGCTCCATTTCCATGGCAGGCCTGCTTCCACAACCCCTGCGTTCCCAGAGCCAAAGGCCTACCGGGCCCTCCGATGCCTGGCTCCTACACCACACTTCTCCAAGATTACCGCCCCCTCTAAGTGAGGCCAACCTCAGCCCATCCTGAAGGGGGCTCGGCTCCACTGCCCCTCCAGCAAAGGAACTGGGGAGTTACACAGTGGGGAGGTGAGGAAAGGGGCTGGGGAACCTGGGCCCAGCAGCCAGTGCTCACCTCAAGGAGGATGCAGCCGGGGGCAGGGAGCAGGGAGCCTCGTGGCTTGGTGCTGGGCACAAGCACAGGGATGCCCTCACCCCCCTCCTGCTCCTGCAGAATGACCAGGTCAGTCCCTGGGGGCAGCATAAAGCCAGGACCGAGCTCCTCCGTCAGCACAGGGAGCCCCTTCTGCTAAGGAAGGACGGGGCTGGGATCAGCGTGAGCGAGTACAAAGGGAAATGGCTACACGGCCTCCAAGGGCCCAGGGAAATCGGAGCAAAGTGGCGCCGCTTGCCAAAACTGCCATACAGGGGGTGGGTCCAGCTCAGGATCCTGGGGGGGGGGGAGGGAAGGAGGAAAGGAGGGGAGCCATAGGGAATTAGGGTTACCTCAAGCCCACTGCTGAGTGCCTCAGTGACCAGCCTCTGGCCCTGGAGGCCCCCAGATTTGGCCTGCTTAACCAAGGCCCCCTTCCTACGGCGTGACCGGCACCGAGGCAGAGCTGCCCCCTCTACAGCAGGGCTGTCCCACCTGGCTGTAGGCAGCAGACGTTTCTGTAGGCAGACACTTGGCTGAGCACCTTAACGAGCCACTGCCTGCCCAGAACCTCCCCAGAGCAGCTGCCACACCCACCATGGCAAACTTCAGGCACTGCCTCCACCGGCACTTCTGGCGCTTCTGGTTACAGCCCCCAAATTTGGGCTTGTCCTGGCAGAAGTCACACTGACCGCAGTCCACACAGCGCCGGCACGCAGCACACACCCCACATCTGCGGCTCTGCCGGCGGCTGGAGTAGCGCTGGGCAGCAGGTGAGAGAGACCAGGTCACCTGGGCTGCCAGTGCTCCTGCCAGGGACAGGTAGGGTGGGGAGCACCAGGGCAATGGGGCCTTCTAACTGCTCCTCACACATCCAAAGCCATTCCTTAACGACCTTGGCCGTCTCTCCCACTTCTACCGGCCCCCGGGAGGCTCCAGGAAAACCTCTTCCCACCTCTACCACACACACTGGCCAGGAACTGGGCAGGGGGCCTGGTAGAAAGGGGGAGGGGCAGCAAGCTAGTCCCAGAAGGATGAGAGCTGAGGGGAACTTTGCTATCTTGAATACCCAGCCCGGGAGAGGGAAGCACATTAGGCACTGGGGGTCATGGTGGCCAAGTGGGCCAAGAAGAGGGGAAGGAGCGTTGGATGCTCACTAGAAAATGAGAGCCTACACAGTAATACAGAAAGGCCTCGGACTTTGAAGACGGTGGGGACCGTAGGCAACTGCAAGAAAACAAGCAGCAGAACCATGGAAGGAGGGGGAGGTTTCCCTGGGAAGTGACAGGGCTAGGCAGCAAGACCCTAGCCCAGCTCTGACACCCCAAGCCTTTCCCCTCACTTCACCCCTCTGCATTTACAAGCAACCCCCAACTCAAAACAAGGCCCAGCCTACCCAGTACCCCCATGGCCTAGCCAGGGCCTTACCAGCTTGGAAGGTGCAGGGGAGCCCTGGCCCCACTTTGGCTCTTTGGTCTTATGACCAGTGTCGTGCTGCAAGGATGGGGGGGAGGGGGGAAACAAGCTGATGAAGGAGGCAGCTGGCAGCTAGAACCTCCATTTCCACCCCCTCCTGCTCTCCCTGCAAAGCAATGGGTGTTCAACAACAGGGGGGCATAGCCCTTAGCTCACTTGCTCTGCCAGGCTCCAGAGGCGATTCATTTCTGGGCAGCAGGAGGACAATGCCCTCTAACAGGGAATCAAGGTCCTCCCTCTGGGGATGGGGCCCACAGGCAGGAAGTCGGAAAATCTGGGGCCAGGCCGGGCCAGACCTCAAAAACAGAGCATGCCTCTCTGCTGGGGCAATCCCATCAGCCTTGCAGAAGCTGGCCTGATAAACTATTCCCAGGAAGGAGTCCAAATGTTTCCCTTCCCTGTCTGGGATACCACATGTGTGCACGTGCGCACACACGCAAATGCATGCATACGCATTTAGGGTACTGAGGGTTCTTAGGGTTAGGGTTGGAGGCATTAACCCTAAAATGCTTGCAGCAATGTTGGGGAGAGACAGGAAGAGGGGAATGAGCTAGAGGCTGGCAGGCAGGTGACAGAGAGTCTCAAGCCTGAAGGAGCTGAGGGTCCTCTCTCTTACTTCCCTTTCCCAGAGCCAGGGCTTGGGCTCCTCATTTGGCATCACAGTCCATGCTCCCTGCCCCCATCCCTGGGGTACAAGCCCAAGTGCGGAATGAAGCCAGGGATCTGCGGCCTTCCCACCTCCCCCCTCCACCTCCTCACAAGGAAGAAATGCATGCTTTCCCCCCAAAAGTGGCGGTGGCATAGTGACTGCAAACACAGGGTGGACAAACCACACAGCCAGCAAAGTCAGAACAAAGGAAGTGAAGACATCTATCCACACACACACACACACACACACTCACTCACTCACTCAGTCACACACACTCTCTCTCTCTCTTTCTCTCTGTGGCCCCGGCACAAAGGAGATGGGATTAGTCTTCATGAAACACGGGAAGAGGGTTCACTTACGTGTGGGGGGGGCAGGACGGGATGGGGCAGGGCAGGGGCCCCCCCTGGGCCAGGAGGGCACTGCCCCCAGCTTTCAAACCAGACATTGAGTTTAAAATCCACTCACTGCTGTAGCTGCCGCAGTGACGCCTCTCTGCCAGCCCCGAGCCTTCACAGCCAGGCCAGGTGAGGGAGGGAACAGAGGATCATAGGAGATTGGGAAGGGGGAAGGCAAGGAAGGGAGAGGAAGGATGATGAGGAAGAGCAGGGAAAGAGATGAACTTCTGGAGGCCTTCCTGCCTTCTCTCGTCCTCCCCCCAGCCCTCCACCCCTTTCCTTGAAATCAGGCCGTATGCAACCACAAAGTGACGGCATCACAAGGCTCCCACTGGGGCTTGGAACCTGGGGTTGGCAGGCTGGGCAGGCAGGCAGGCGGGCGGGTGAGTGGGCAGGCAGACCTCAACAGGCAGAGGGCCCACTCCCAGGCTCTGAGGGCCTCCCACCCACTAGGGCGGGCAGGCAGGCAGGCAGGCAGGCAGGCAGGCAGGCAGACAGACAGACAGGCAGGCAGGCAGGCAGGCAGACAGGCAGGCAGGCAGGCAGGCAGGCAGGCAGACAGGCAGGCAGGCAGGCAGGCAGGCAGGCAGGCAGATAG